TCTTTAATAAATGCTCTTTTATCTCCTTTTCTATAATTTTTAGTTTCATTAACTTGTTCTTTGATTTGATGATATTCATCTGATGGTTCAACTCCATTCATTTTATTAATAGCAGCTTCAATATTATCTTTAAGTGCTTGTGCTCTTTGTTCATAATCATGAACCATTCCTTCTGTAGCTCTAAGGAAATCAAGGAAATTACCTGCTCTTTTACCTGCTTTTTCTACTTGATCATTTGAACTAAAAACTTTATATAAAGCAGCAACATATGTCATAACTGATCTTTCATCTGGTCTTGGCATATTAACAATATCATCAACATCAAGTAATTTTGGAATACCAAGTTCTTTTTCTGCAACATCAAATGCTTTTTCTAAATTAGCTCTATCATCTTCTCCAACTGTTTCCCAGTCTAATAAATCTGGTCTATGTCTATGAATAAGAGCACAGAAAACTTTACCATCTTTAAATGATTCTGAAAAGTTTTCTACTTTAACTGGATATGGTTCACATTTCTTTTGACACCATAACAACAATCCTTGTTTAGCACTTAATCCTTCTGCTGAAAGTTCTGAAATAGCAAATCTTAAAATAAGTGTCCAAACAAGTCCAAGTGTTAATTTAACATTTCCATCAACAATATCAGTTGGTCCAATACCTGTTAATTTAACATCTCTTGATTGAATAAATCTTAATGCTTTATCCAAATTTTCTGTCATTTGAATTCTCATTTTTGGATTAGTAACACATTTAATAGTTGTTTCTCCAATAATTTCTAAAAGTGCACATAACTCTACTCCATTCTTAAAGTCAGTAGTAACATCATTAATTTTTCTTCCTTTTTTAGCAAGATGCATATTAACCCATTTAGTAAAGGTCTTAATTTGTACTTTTTCCCATTGAGCAACTAACTCACTATCAGCCATTTTTTTTACCTTTTTAAAGATTACTTCTTTCTCCTTTTTATTTCAAGTTCTGACTACGCAAAACTCTAATCTCATTATTCTTAAGAAGATTCTTTTTCGCCTTTTTTTTTCTCTTTATTTGATAGATTTTTTTTTCTATTTTGTTTCCACATCAACAATTTTATTATAAATTATTATCAATTTGGTTTATTATTAATAATGATGAATTTCAGAAGATATGAATTGAAACGTGTCATTTTAATGAATTATAAAAATAGAGCAAATCTTGTTTTTATGAAATTCTTTTAGATTATTACTCTAAATAAATAATTTATGTTATATATATCAAAATTTTAGAATAAAAGAGAAGAGACAATGGAATTATTGTGTTTTAGTCTGCGATTGTTGATAAAGTGGATCAAGAAATGGAATATTATAAACATTAGATACATGGACATACCACAAAGGTACTCCTAACAGGAAAGTACCACCTATAAAGTTTCCAATTGAAACTGGAATAAGATTATTTAATATCCATTGACCTAGTGTAAAATTACCACCATACATATGACTGAGTGATAATAAAAACATGTTTCCTACACAATTCTCAAAGTCAAGACTAACAAATGTTAACACTAAAAATGAAATCACAACTAACTTTGATAAAAGGTCTTTTGCACTTGCTGAGAGATAAACTGCACAGCATACAATCCAATTACAACCTATACCACTTAATAATGCTTTTCCCCAGTTCATTGCTACTTTAGCTTCTCCAATACTTTTTACTGCACTAAGATACATTGGAGATTCAAAAGGTCCAAGAAGTTTTCCAAAATATGTAGAAACAAAGATTGAACCAACTAGATTACCAAAATAAACAACAAAATGAGTCTTGAAAAACAACCATCTAGAGTATGACCCTTCCATAAATCCTGGAACAAGAAATGCACAATTAGATGTGAAGAGTTCTCCACCACAAAGTACAACAAGATTGAGACCAACACTATTAAAAAATCCAAAAACTATTTTTTGAATGCCAATATCAGATGATGGAATTCCTTTTCCAATAGTAATAGAAAGTAATCCTCCAACAGAAAGAAGCATACCTGCAAGCACTGATAAAAAAAACATTTTCATTGTTGGGTATGTTGCTTTAGTTTTTCCAATTAATACAAGTAACCTTGAAGTATCTACAGGAGCAATATAATTTGAAGATATAACTGGAATTTGGGTGTTTGGTTGAATTGAAAAAAAATGTTTATTAATGACTCTTTTTTCTAACTCTTCTATGGCAATAGTTTCTTTTTGTTGTTTAATACAATCTATCTGTTGTTGTTCTTTCATTTCTTCTTCATATAATTCTTTTGGGGGTTGTTCAATTTCTGATTCATCTTCACAAACTGACATCATTTCAATAGCTATTTCATCTGCTCTTGGCTTTTCTCGTGGCATCAAGAATAAGTTACACTAAATCTAAATGAAAGAAGTATATAGACTTACTAAAATATAACTAGAATAATAGGGTTTCTTTAGGAATGTCTCTAACGAATAGAATTTCGGCAACTTCGAAAATAACCAAAAATTTGAAAGATTTTCTATTGAATTTCAAATGCTTTACAATCTGTTGTAACAATAATTAAAATATTGAAAAAAAATATTGAATTAGATTATTGGTTCAATAATAGAATAGCGAGTCCTTGAGAGTTCTACAGCATCAATTAGTTGCATTATCAATTCAACGCAATTAGTTTCAATGCTTTTGTCTTCTATTAAGTTACACAGTTTAATTTCTTTAGTAAATAACTTTACTAGTAATATTCTTTCTATCTTTATAAAAAACTTAGATTCTGAAGGTGTTGTTCTAGAGTGTAAAACACAATTACTTATAATCAATGTAATACATTCTTCAGGATGAGTTGTTGTCAGTTTAATCTCCCCTTCAATCCCTTTGAGTAATTCTGGACTTATTGATACAGAAAGAAGATTACCAAAAGAATAAAGAGGTAATAAATCAATATCAACTGCAGGCTTTAATGGCTTCTGATAAGAACTTTCTCTTAGTTCCATTGCACCAGTAGAATAACTATATTTAAATGCTAATGATTCTTGAACATAACTTAATTGGTCATATGTTTGAGCAAGTAGATTTCTAGCACGAAGGTTTTGTGGGTTATAGAATACTAAATGGTTTAATACAGTTACAGCCCAGTTATAGTCTCCAGTATCAAAAGCTTCTTTACCAATCAGGAAAGCCTTTTCTTCTCCTCCAAAACATTTAATATACTTTATTGCTTGTTCTTTTGGAGGGAGTTCATTCAAATGAGCAGGGTTACCATCATACCATCCAAGATATAATTGGTATTGAGATTTAATATTAAATGATAAAACACCATAAAATTCTCTACAACAAAACTTGTTTGCTAAAGATGGTGGTAATTTAACTAATTGAGCTATTTCATTTGGTGAATATCCAAGATTAGCATAACGAAGGGTTTGGTCATGAATGTACTTGTACAAATCTCTATTGGTTTTCCAGTAATTAACAATTTTTTTATTTCCATATAAAGGCCAGTTATGACAAGCAAAATGAATTTGAACATCCTTCCCATATTTTACTATGGTATTATCTATGTATTGACTCCAAACCTTTCCACTTCTAACTTTAGCTCCTCTTGGAGTTAGTAAATTGTGCATAGTTTGTGGCATATTATCAGCACAACAAAGTGCATGAAGCTCAGGTAAGTAAAACATCATATTTGCAGGTGCTTCTGTGTTAGGAGTAGGAATAAATTCAAAAGTGATTCCATCAATTATATAAGTACTCTCTTTTTTTATAATTATAGTATGAGATGAGTATGGTATTGAAACACTCTTCTTCTGATTTGGATTTAACCCATTTCCACTTGACTTTGTCTTTGATTCATTAAGGCGAGTTCCATACATATATTCTGCTCTTCTTGACATAGCACTTCCAGCAAATATACTTTCATCAAATAGTGATTCATAAAAAGTTTCTGGGATATACAAAGGAGTGGTTATGTGTTGCTACTGCATCATATCCT